TGAAATAACACCCCAGTGGAGTCTAATCCTTCCCAAATACTGAACGGAATGGGATCTTTCTGGAAGCAAGAAAAGCTGAATTCTCACCTCGGCTGCTTAACAAAAACATGAACAAAAATGTTAACTTCAGTAGGGTTGGTTTCACTGAGGAAGGTGAAACCTTCATATTTTTCAAGAATTGTTTTTGGATAATGTTGTCTTGGGAAAAGAACAACAATCCTATGATTATTCCAGATATAATTTAACCGGGGGACGTGTGTCAGGAAATGTTCAGGGGAAGATCACAACATCCATAATCAACTAGTGTTTGGCCGAACCTTTCTCTGGCTTCTACTGTCCTTGGATTTGGTTCCGATCAGAAATGCCAGCTCCTTGGGGGCATCCAACATATGACATTCCCAAGCCTCCAAGCCGGTAGCAGGAACACACGGAGTAGCTAGGAAGAGCTTGTTGAGTGGAAAAGTCCACAGATGTCTTACAAGAACCCTTCTCTGCAGATGTTTATACCCACAGTGCAAAGCCGGGACACGGTGTGTGCATTGTTGGGGGTGGGCTAAACCCATGCAGCTCCTCTCCCGGCTTGCTTGTTCAGTTTGCTGCAAGTTGAGCAGCCAAACAGGGCTTTATTTCTTTCCCAGCGCTTCATCCAGGCAGGTTGGAATAGATGTGCAGGAAGTGTCATGCTAGGTTAGACCCAGGACTCCCTAGCTCAGCACGATGCTTCCCACAATAGCCAGCGAGATGATCCAGGAAACAAGCAAATATGGCAAGAAGAGCCAAGGGGTGGCCAACCAAATGCCTCCCAGATATCTTTGAGGACAGTTCCCATCATCCCTGGCCATTGGCCATACTGGCAAGAGCTGATGGGAACCCTCCTCTGAAACCTGCCCACAGTAGCCTCTCTCTTTCATGATCATGTCTGAATGCCTGACCCAATGCTGCTCGAACCATTCAGAGTCAGTTGGCACAGTGTGCCAGACTACATAATTAAACACAGATGCCAATTAGTTTTCCGACTGGGAGATGCAGGCTCACATGGGCTATTCTTTTCAGTGGCCTGCTTTTTGAACAATGTGAAGTAGGGATTTCTTGCTGTTCATCTCCACCCTCAGTGATGGGGAATAATATTCAGTGAGGATAATCCTCTACAAATACAGGTTCCAATTAGTGATCGTGAGTAATAAGAACAGAAGCAGTATCCTGCTGGACCTTCGATCAAAGGCTTGTCTGGTCCTACAATCTGTTTTCACTTATGGCCCACCAGATGCCTCTGGGATTTTCACCAGCATGTCATGGAGACAATAGTTTCCAATGGGATGCTGGACATGGGAAACTCCATCAAGTTCAGTCATGGCTTACATCAGTAGATAAAACTGTTTTCCAGACTCCAAGGCCTGCCAAACTTCTGTAATTCATTAATGGTGAAAATGAGGCAGTCCCCCACTGAGCTTCACAGCGAACAGGTGCTGTGGGAAGGTCTTCCTGGCTTAAAAACTTAGTCCAGAATCTGGGATCAACCTTAGTTCTTTGTCTGAAGGTGCATGGAGCAGAAAAGACTTAAACCAGGCTTTACAGTCGATGGTTAAGTAATTTCAGATGGGCAGAATTCGGTGGGGTGATCTGAAATGAGCAGCAAGATTCATGTCCGGAGGAGAGACAGTATGATCATGGGTGTTGCATGGGTGTTGTCCTGATTTCTCTGAGACGTGAGTGTCTCTGCCCCTTTCAGGACTCGAAGCAGGCAAGACCTTGTTTGTGCAATGGAATTGGTAAGCCCCATGGCTATCAGGAGGGATTTGGTGGGATGGAGGAGAATCGGTAGAGGATTCTGTCCAGTGATATACGAGGAGGTCTTTAACATTTGCTTCAAGTTGTTTTTGACTGGTATTTATCCAGGTCATGCCTCCTATCACCAATCACAGATCGTAATGCAATCTGCAGCCAGATTTCAAGCTTGCAATTTGTGCAAAAATGGTAGTGGCAGCAATGGAACCGCATGTTCGAAATGTCCATTGTTGTTCAGTCGCAAAGTCACACCCAACTCTTCGCAACCACATAGACAACATTCCTCCAGGCCTCCCTGTCCTCCACCATCCCCCGGAGTCCACTTAAGCTCACATCAACTGCCTCAGTGACTCCATCCAGCCACCTCATTCTCTGCCGTCCCCTTCTCCTTTTGCCATCTATTGTTCCCAGCATTAGACTCTTCTCCAGTGAGTCCTTCCTTCTCATTAGGTGGCCAAAGTATTTGAGCTTCAACTTCAGTATCTGGCCTTCTAAAGAGCAGTCAGGGTTGATCTCCTCTAGGACTGACTGGTTTGATCGCCTTGCAGTCCAAGGGACTCTTCGAAGTCTTCTCCCACACCACAATTCTTCAATCCTTCGGCACTCAGCCTTCCTTATGGTCCAACTCTCACAGCCTTACATCGCAACTGGGAAAACCATAGCCTTGACTATACGCACCTTTGTTGGTGATGTCAATGGGAGAGGATGCACACTTTTCAAAAATGCACACAGCTGATGTGTACCTTTGGGGAAGACACATGGGTTTTCATGCAAAAAGAAAAAGAGCTTACAGTCTGATAGGGACATGAAGTGGAATTACAGATGTCTCTCTTCTACCATCAAAAGTGTGGAGAAAGATCTTATGCAACCAAGTGTCAAAGTCTGATTCTTTGTGTACCCGCTTCACCTTTAAGTAAAAGTAGATGTTTCTTGAAGTTATGAAATTCCAGCAAGACTCTTACAGACTGATACCATCATTCTGTGAGAGCCAAGAGTTAAGTCTCCTGTATATTTTGTTTTCTGCACGGAATCAATTAATCCTTCCGATCGAAGTCAAATGCTTGCAACCATTCTTGGGCAGAGAAAGATGTATCTGTCTCTCTGAATAAAGCTACAATAAATACAAAGAAGCTAAGTGTAAAAATCAAGGTCCAGCTGTCGAGAGAAGTGGAACAAATCTTTAACACAGAGTCGGTCCTGTTTACAGAGTTGCTGTTGCGTTTTGTTCTGGGGTGTAGAAGTCATTGCAACTGCCTTTCCATTCACACTTTGTCTGCCCAATTTCAAAGTTTAGTGCTAGGTATCAAAATGTTTCCATTTCCTGCTTCTAAATTTAAGCCTGATCTAGAATACACATTTTCAGCCAAACTGAACTGATTTGCATCTCTTGCACAAATGAGGGGGTTGTTCTCTCCTTTCTCAGACCCTTGCCTTGCAGTTCGTGGCTTTGAAAAGCTACTAAAAGATGTAAAGAATGAATATTTGATGAAAGAATGAATGTGATGTTGAAGTATCTGTTAAAATTGCATGGGCTGCCACTTGGAATATCCTCAAATTCTATTAATAACAATTGCTGAACAAATGAGATATTGCTGAAATGGATAGATTAACTGATGCTACTCACAAAAATTAGCGCATGATATAAATAGACAAATTGGAATTCCCATTCAGCCCTAGTTGGTATCTTAGCAATTTGTTTTAAACAAATTTTCAAATGAACATGTATTAAACTGTAGAGAGATATCTAGTGTAGGTATTTCATTGTCTAGCGAGAGAATGAAAATTGTCCCTGTTTTCTAGTGCTTTTTAGGCACTGAATTGAAGGAAGTTGAAAATATTAACCCATTCAAAGGAACCTGGCTTTGCTTTAACATGTGATGCTTGAGTGATTCAGTCTCCAGGAATTCTAATATGAACTGATCTTCACCTTCTAATTCACAACTGGTTATTTACCACCTGTTGCATTTTGAATGTCTCAATACAGTCTTCAGCTTGCACACTGAATCAAAATGCATTGAAAAAATAGGCCATTTTGAAGGAGGCTGTGTATTTTAGGGGAAAATACATTAAGATTGTAAATATATTTAAATTTATCTATTTAATGTATTTGTTTATATAATATTTTAAATATATTTTTCATGTAGACTTTAAAAATAATGGGCAGGGGATTACACGATTCATCGTGCGTTCCTTGTAAGAGGAAAATGGATAGAGTATAAACTACATAAATAAATAAGGAAATAAATGCAATTAATTCAGACCCAGGAGAGAACTGGACCATGCCGAAGTGACATGAGCTAGAAATAGACATTTTCCTATCCCTACTCTCAGTGGCATTTTTGGAGTCACAATGTGGTCCTTGATTGGCTAGGATCATTTCAGGAAGGATAAAGATGCCCCCAGTCAGAAGCAAAGGGGAACCTAACCAGTGAAAGGAAGGGTTTTTGAAAGTTAATTAGGATGATTGCAGTGCCAATTTTCAGTGAAATATTTTAGCATCTGGAAAGATCGATCAGAATAGAAATGATAAACTTTGGGACTGCTCTGAATGAAAAGCAGACTTTTTCCCGTGGGACAGTTTTTGGAACCAGATAATTGATTAAACATCAGGCCCTTTTGATCCACAAATAATTTCACTTGGATGGACAGGAATGGCTTTGGAATTTACTAACAGTTACAAAAATATTGGTCGTGAAGAAATGGCGAGAGTCCCTCCACTGTCTCTCCACCGTGTGGGCTGGTGGATCCATAGTGGGGGAAGATATGAAGGTCAGCTGAAATATTGGAATTACATGGCTATGTCCATTAATAAGAACATGTGAGGATTTTATTCTTGCCTGCAAAACACATGAGCATAATTTGTCCGAAGCACCGAATGCAAGCGTCTCTTGCATCTTGCAATTTCTGTGCACTTAATAGATGGAATCCCAAGTCCTGGAAGAATTCTGAGTGATTGGATTGACCCAAATTTGGGGAGATCTGCAGAAATGTCCCTTTCAAATCCGGCTTGATTTGAACAAGTTCCGTGTTTTGTGCAGCACCAGCAGATGGGAATGGGAACTGGGCATGGGAATGAGGAGATTCTGGGAATGCTTTGCCCCTCTCTGCCCATTCATTAGGATGACAAATAGCAAACGGAGTTAAAGGGGGAAGTGCTTAGAAAATGTTTTCCAGCCTGGCTACCTACCGTTTCTGCTTTCTGTTGTCCGATACAGTGTTCAATTGAATGTGGCAGTGGAACCCAGCAGAGAGAAGTGCTTTGTATTAGAAAGACTGAAAACAGCTTTGATATACTGAATCCCTACGAGTGTTCATTTTTGGAAAGACCCCCCAGCCAGCAAGCTTGCTACCTCAGGCCTTGTGGTGCGAAGTGGTTTAGTACTGAATGGAGCACAGTAAGTATCTCACCATCTCGGTTTTGTTTTTCGCTGTCTTTGCTGTCAAACGCTCACGCCAGACGCGCTCCATATCTTTGAGCTAAATGCAGAAATACTTGGGGGGAATACTTGGCTCTGCAAATACCGCAAGCAAGAAAGACCTTGGGATTGTTGTGGATCGCAAGCTGAATAGGAGTCAACCATGCGCAGCAAAAAGGGCAAATGCTATTTTGGGCTGCAGAGATAGAAGTATCACCTGAGGATCCCCTGACTTCCTAGTTCACCTTTGCTCAGCCCTGGTGATGCCTCACCTGGAGTCCCATGTCCAGGTCGGGCACCACAGTTGAAGGAAGATGCAGACAAGCTGGGACAGTTCAGAGGGGATCTCCAAGGATGATCCAGGGACTGGAAACAAAGAAGCATGAGGAGAGAATGAAAGAACTTTGAAAGATTGACAGAGGAGATAGGATTGCTTCCCTCCCCTGGTCTAAATACACTTAGGATATCAACCTTAATTCTTAATATCCTGTGAATTTTCTCTGATACATGATCACATTTCTCTGCATCTGATAATACCAACAAATGCCCCTAGATGACAGCAGATGTTTCTCACTGCTACCTGACTATTTGATTTAGTGATGCCCAAATCCAATTCGAGTTTCTAAATTGCTCTAAGCTTTGATCCTTTGAAGAATTAAACATATTTGCCTGGAAATTTCATTTGACCCTGGTTGAGGGAAAACCGTTTTACCGGTCTGTTCCAGCAACATTTACCATCATCAATATGTGGCTCCGTTAAAGGAAGGGAGGAAGCCTATACGGGACCTTCAGAATTTAATTTCTAAATCAACATGTCTCAGAAGTTTTATGAGAAGGCCAGCTCTGTGAAGCCCACAAGAAGGAGCAATGAAAATGGGAGTTGGGCCTTAAGGCACATCTGGGAAAAATAACCTCTAGAAAGTACAGGAAAGAAAAGGGAAAATACTGAAACTGAGTTTTGATTTACTTCACACTGTCACTTAAGCTGCTCCAAAAGTTACCCTGAAAAATGCCTGGTTTGACAAGTGGTAAACCAAGAACAGGGATCTAATTTCCCCCCTTCGAAACTGTAGAAAAGTTGCCTCTTTGCTGCCATTATACATTATTGTAATTGCCTAGAGTTGAGGCTTCAGCTGTTAATTGTTTAAATGGCAGAATGTTCCTTTTTGCCTCTTACGGATAGGAAATAAGGCAATTATGCTTTTCAGAGTTGCATTTTAAGGGATTCAGCAACAAATTATGAATCACGTAATACCTTTCTTTTCCTTGTTTTATTTGCTAAGAATGCTTTCAATTATTATTATTATTAGAGTATCAGAATAATAAATAATATATATAATTATATAATTTTGTAGAATGTATCAACAATTGTGTATTTTATAATTTTATATAATATATAATCATATTACATCACTGGTTATAATTAATATTTATATGATAATACTTATTTTTATCTTTACATCTCACCATTTCTCCTACAAGACACTTTACATGGGCCTCTTCCTCCTCTCCATTTTATCCTCATCACAACAGCCCTGTGAGGTAGGTTAGGCTGAGCGTTAGCGGCTGGCCCAGCATCACCCGCTGAGCCTCGAAGCCATGTGCAGACTAGAACCCGGATCTCCAGAGTCCTAGTCTAACACTGTAACCACTACACCACACTGCCTGTCCACTGAGCTATAACATTATTATAGACTGCCAGAAGGTGGACTGCACCTTCTAGCCCACCAAGGAAGGACTCGATAGGAGCCAATTTATAATGTTGCTGGTTTTGGCCAGACTGCTCCAACTGATAAAAGTCCCAGATGTCCCAAAGTCCCAAATCTTGACTTCCTGCTTAATTCCTTGCCAAACTATCTGCCTGCCTTTAAGCCAGCAGACCTGACACTCCACTTTTTTCCATGTGTAACAAAAAAAAAATTTAAAAACCCCCGGCAGGACTTGCCTTAAAGAATTTGTGCAGTGACATTCAATACTCCAGTAATGTAAGTCAGGAATTGTCCCTTAAGTCTGCTTCCCAGAAAGAAATGATAGCATCTTTAGCAAGAAATCCAGCTAGGAACGTACAAGAACTTCATTTCAGTCTGCAAATCATGCGAACTTGCCCCATTTGAATGTGAACTGGAAACATTAAAAAAAGTTGCATGTTCCCAAACTTGCAATTAGTGTTGGGAACAATTGGTTTTGTTAATGTGAACTTTAAAAGGCACGTTTTCTCCCCCTGCCCATAAAATATGCATTTTCATGTTTTATTCAGTGGGGAGAGCACAGAGTTCGGGGAAAAAGAAACATACATGGATATGCACACTCTCCCTGCTTGAATTAAACAAAAACATTACAAAGAAAAGTGGGAGCAATTCAAGTTTGGAGTATCTTAGCAAGCTGAAACATTCCTGATTTTCTCAGTCCTAAACCCATGCCATTAAGGACTGACATCCTTAATAGCATGTTAAGGTTCTACTTCTATTAAGGTTAAGGTTCTACTTCTATTAAGTAGCTCTATGGAACTTCAATTTTACAAAAATAAGTTTCCAGACACCTACTAACCCTCCCAGAATTTGAGAAGTCTTAGCTGGGGAATGTTGGTTTTTCATTGTGGTAATTCTTAAGATTTTAGGAGGCCCAACAGAAAATTATTTCACAACATGTATGTACTGTTCTGCGTCTAAATAAATTCTGAAGCAGTGAAAGAATGACAAAACGCCATATTAAAACAGGAATTTGGGGAAAATATAAACAATCAAAAACAATGGTGGCTTATTTCAGAAAGACAACGAGGAAGTCTTCCTGAAATAAAGATGTCTCCAGGAAGCACTGAAAGCAATAAAATATTGGCACCTGTTTGGGCTCTAGAAACAGGGAGCTCCACAAAAAGAGAAGGACCAAGAGAAGGTTCTGGATTGGTAGGATGCCAGTGAGGCTACGGATGAACGTGGGACCTTTCCCTCTGGGGACCTCACTGGTCTGGCAGGTTGATAAAGAAGAGGACATCTGGGCCCTTAAAAAGAAGACACCAAAACATGTCCGTTCCATGAACCTTGGGGTTTTTCCCCACATCCAGCCCTATGGCATGGGAAATGTCCTGGAATATTTGGACTGTGTCTCCTAGTAGGAGGATGGTGATTGCTTTTTGCAGATGCTCTCAACAGGGGAGAAGGGCAGCCATCCCCGTGGCCCATTCCTCAGAGGCTACCATAACACAGGCTGACATGTTGGCCCATTCACTGTGAGGGCCACCCTTGTAGGACCACCATGTGGTCAGTGGAGGAAGCACACCTCTTGCTCTCAAGCAGATTCTGTCCCTCTGATGCTGCCAGGTAGCCAAATCCGATGTGCTCCCTGGTCTGGGGAGCAAATCGGATTGCGGGGAGGGGTGCTTATGCCGTGACCAGTTCGAATCAGGCGACAACGGGGAAAGGAACACCAGCAGGGAGCAAAGAGTACTGCTGGAAGGGCAGCGCCCTCTTCTGCCACTGGCCAGCGGACTTTCTAAGACACGATGAGAAGTGTCAGCAAGCATTTTTGTAGCAAGCCTTATAAATGTCTTAATAAATAAATAAATAAATAAGCAAGCAAGCTTGAAACAGGTCAGCGTTCATCCCAGCCCACCTAGAAGAAACTGTGGAGTAAGATATGCTCTAAGCTGGCGTTCAGATTTACCTGCAAAGGGCGGAGTTTTCCATTATTTTGCTCTCATATCACGTAAAAGTCAAGATGGGTCAGCTGTTTGTCACTTGCCTTTGAAAAGACGTGACTGTGTGCCTATACTGTATATTCTTTTCTCTCTCTCTCTCTCTCTCTCTCTCTCCTATATATTCTATGTAATTAAATTTATTTCTTCTACTGAAAACTAAACAAACTGCTTAAATAATGTCTAGCTGTCACTGAAGGGATGCACTGAACTGCTTCTCTTTGGGTGTTTTGACAGAGCTGTCACGTGCTGAACCTTCGGGCTCCGTTGTTGATTTGATTTTTGCAATCTCTCCCTTTTTCCTTCCCCAGAAAACAAAGAGCCCTTGAAAATAATATATAATGCTAAATCCCTTCTGAGACTCTTCACACACACACACACACTCACTGCTAAGAATAGAAATTGTTTTGGCTTCCACTCTGCTCACTTGGTGTGATTACTTTGCTTCCCAGATAGTTTCTCAAGAAATTGTAAGAGGAGGCTAATGACTTTAGCCAATCTTGCTTTAAGACAGAGGAAGAAATTATGAGAAAGCAGCCCCAGGCGGAACAAGTTGTCAGGGGCATGTGCAAGCCTGGGTGCAGGGCAGAATGACAGTATCAACGTCCATGTTGCCAGTGCGAGTCTTAATCTTGTGCTAAGACATTGGCTTAGGCTGAGGTTCTTCTATGCTACATTTGGAACGGTGTGCCGGGAGCTAGTTCCTCCATTTCAACAAAGGATATTGTAATGGGATAAGGAGTCTCAAAAGTCAGTCCTGTGAGGAATAGCTGCAAGACCTGTGTTGGCTGAGCCTGGAGTAGAGAAGCTTAAGGGGAGAAGTTATGGTGACCTTCAAACATCTGAAAGGCTGCCATGCAGAAGAAGGAACAGATGTGTTCTCTGTTTCTCCAGAGAGCAGGTTTAGAACCAGTGGGTGGACCCTGGAAGGAATCCATCTCCAGCATTGAGTAGGGATGAGAGATTCTCCATTTTCCACCATGCATTTTTCCAAGCATGTAGCCGAAATGTGCACTTTTCCTCCATTGGCCAAAGCAGAAGGTGCAGGTTTGCAGGGGAAATGCACATTTTCAGACGTGCACCATCCTGTCCCCAGTCTCCCTAAGCAGCAGCAAAACTGTCTGTGGCCATAATTCCAGTAATTGGCTCTTGCCTTGCATGGAACCAGTAAAGATCCCCAAAGCCAGCTTGTGACCAAGCCCCAGGTAGAGTCCTAGAGAGACCAAAGACACTGCAGCTGCAATCCATTCTGGAGTTCTGAGGTATTGCCTCGTTTCATTTAACTGGCATTAAGTGGACGTCACTTCTGGAATCCTAATTTTGCAGGCCATCTGGAAACTCAACCCATACTAGACCTGATCTTGCCTATAGGATCTGACGCTCAGTTGTTCATGTAAGTCAACCCTTGACCTGAAACGAGAGAGATGGATTTGTCAGTCTATTCCTGGTGACTGCCTGAAATGTCCTCAGAAGCAGGATCAGTATCCCTCTAAAGCGAGGAAGGTGTTCCTACAGCTCAGAGAATGGAACTAACAGCCTATCTGCAGCTCCATGTAATTCTAAGAAATGCTTTCGGATAGAGCTGGCTCATTAGTCCTGGTTTTTTATCCCCTCATCTTGATCCTTGGAAGATCTGCTCTAACCTCAAGCTACAAACAAGGTGCAGCTTTTCCTCCTCTGTCAAAACGATGCGCAAGAGATGACCTGGGTAGAGATGCTAAACAGGAATTCCAGATTATGATATGAAGAGGCAATGAGTGTATTAGAAGAAGACGGGTGTCTGAATGATGTGCACAGGCTTGTTCTGCTAGAGGGGTCCTCTTTTGTGCAGAGTGAATTGCATGTTTTTCCTTGCAGTGCTCCAAATCCTGCGAAACTGGCTTCCGGATCCGAGAGGTGCGGTGCCTTTCTGATGACATGACTCCCAGTAGCAAATGTGATCCGCAACTTAAGCCGGACGAGAAGGAGCAGTGTAACACTCAGGACTGCGTACCTGAAATAGGTAAGCCATTCTTGAGCTTCCTCCAGCCATGGAACTCCATCTAGTGGAAGAAAAACACATTGATCTTGAAGCGATCCCAAGTCAGCTTCATGCTTTTGGTGTTAGTGTATGTGTTGGATTGCTGGGGAGGGTTAAACCAAACCAAAATAATCAGACCACTTTTAAAAAGTATGTTAGGCTTTTCACATGGGAGTTAGAATATTTTTAATTGAGCTTACAAAGACGAAGACGTTTGCTTTGGAGTGCCCAGGAATCTGAGGAATCTTCAGCGTCTGAAAAGATGGCAGTGTTTGCATATGGTTTGGTGTGTGTTTCATGAGAACACTCTGCCTTCTTCAATATTTGCATGGGTGGAGTCTGCTTTGAAACAAAGCCCAAAGCCCTGGACACAGCGGTATGCAAAGTTTTAGGTTGATTCCATGAGCAACTATGCACTGTGGATTAAGAGGAATAGTTTTAACATGATTTGTTCATCCATCCAACTGCCAGTATCATAAAACCTTTTATGCTGTGGGAAGTCATTAGATTTCATCCCAAAAACTAGTTGGGTCGGTTCTGGTTTTTTTAATATTCATACCCTTCCCAATACAGCTAGAAATGGACTCAGACTCTGAGATCTGCTGTTTTGAATGAAAGAGCTCAACTCCACATCAAGCTTAATTTAAAACAATAAGCTTTAGTAAAAGTAGAAAAAGCCAAATCTAAAAAATACAGAGAGAAAAAGAAGCTTGTGTCTGGATTGGGTTTTTTTTCAAGCCATGGGTTACAGTGTCTCTTGACAGAAGCTTTGCCCTGGTTTGGGAGTCAAAGCAGCCCATGATGCATCTTCTGGGTACCAGGATCAAAGATGGAGCCTGGAAGTTTGGGCACACTTGTTCTGCTGTTGTGCATTTTTAGCTCCTGTCTGCACCCATCCAGTGTTCTGCATCTGTGTGTAAACAATCACACATGGAATCTGTGGAGCTTTTCTCCATAGACCAAAGCAGGGCTAACTCAATTTGCAGGGAAGATTGAGCTGAGAAGTTGTTCAAATCTAGGGCAAGCATTTCTCCAGCAGCCGCAAACATCTTCGGTAGATGTGTGCTCACATTCGAACAGGCCATGCTCAGACTTGTAAGCAAAACTGAAATTCGCAGGCAGCTCCACCTGCAACTATTTGGTGCACCTTGTCTGAATAAGTTGTAACACACACCTAATGCACAACCACATTTGGCCTGCCATGTACAGATCCAGTCAATGCACCTCAGAAATAATACTGTTGCACTAGAGACAGCACAGAAAAGGACAAGCGGAAGAAGCAAGGGCTGGAGCACCTTTCCTTTCAGGAATGATTACAATGAAGGTTGTAGGAGAACTTTGTTCTGATCTGCAAAACTTGCAAACACGTCCCACTCACAACCTCAAATGCAGATGTCAGCAGGAGTGTAACCCATGGCAATGTTTGCAATTTCCTGATCTTACATTTCAAAGGGCATTTCTTGCATTGGGCAATGTGGACTTTTCCTTCTTGCTGAAAAACAAGAACAGACAAATGCATGCACAGGTGAAATGTGGTGAGCACTGAAGTGGGAAATGAAGAACCTCCGTGAGCTCAACCATAATTCGTTTTCTTATTCCCAGTTGCAATATCTGGGGCTTTGTGGCTGAACAAGTGGGGGACATGACAACGATGTGTACAGATGTTTGTGGTGTGGCTAGGTGAATAGGGAGAAGGTCTTTCTCTCATACTATCAGAGCCTGCGGTAACTGTGGAACTTGAGTAGTGGGAGGTTGAAGATAGGAAATTGGAACAATTGTATAAGGTCAATGGATGACTTTCACCTTCAGAGTCTATAGTATGTCCATGCGCACTAGTTGTTGGGGGAAATGAGTGAGAAGAAGCAATTACACTCATATCCCTTTGAGGTATCTTGTTAACCCTTGTAGCAGAACAAGGATGGAGGCCACTGGTGTGGCCCAGACCACAAGTCTTCCTAGGTTCTCATGCATTTCAGAAAGATGACAGCAAATGCCAAGAAGGAATTTGAATCTCACAAACCCGCTCCCACTTGGCCTAGTGCAAACCCATAAATATGAAGCCATTTAAGCGAAGGTCCCCAGTTGCTCGCCTTGACTGAAGCACAAACGTTTGCATGTTCATAACCAGAGCTCAGATCTGGAAGTTAAACATGAGATGGCTCATTTGCAAATCTGTGGAACATACATGAATAATAAATGTTCCTGTTATTGAAAGTTCTCTTCCACTTTAAACAGCTGGGTTTTGCTGAGCAATTAACACTTGGCTACAGTGCCTGCCAGTCAGATGCAGCTGCCTGCTACCTTGTTTTTGGGGACTCATGAAAATGAAATTGATTTGTTCTTGACTTTAAACAAAAGTGATTGGGTGCATGCATTATTTAAGCTGTGTGGTTTGGGCAGATGTATTATTTAAGTGAAGCTAGGTGTAAAAAATAAATCCAAAAGCCAGGCGTCACCGTGCATGTTAAACACTCATTTGGACTGTAGGCATCCCCCCTCTCCCCCTGAAAAGTTCACATCACAGAATGTGATTATAATAGCGAGTGTTGTAAAATACCACAAATCCCATGGATTGGTTTGAGCCGAAGCTTTAAAGCAGAAACCCGCACGCAATTGAATGCGGAGCATAATCCAGAATTTGGATGAAGAGCAGAGCTGGTTAGTTGCTCTTAATGACTGGACCCCTCTTTGCACTGGCAACTTTTGGCTAGGCGATTAAACAGCGATATGTAGCACTCCACCGAGAAACCCAATTTTGGGCCATCTCTCGCTCCCTTCGAAATTGCCCAGATGTTGCTTTGGAAATTCTGATTAGGGAAACACGAGAAACATGCAAACATGCAAAATTGCCCTGTTTCAGACTCCAAACATGATTATGGGTAAGCGTACGTGTCCTCAGAAAATATTCACAGCCTGGGAAGCATGTACTTGCATCTGTTTCGTTCCTGACTCCCAGTCTGATATGCCGAAATGTCCAAATTTTCTTAATCCCAGATTTCTTTAACCCCACTTTAGTCTATCTAGGGAGGAAATTTGCAGGATTTGGCCCTATTCGGTCACTGCTCCATGTGTGAAGCTTCTCGATCATGCAAAACAAGCAGTGATCAGACATGGGAATGGAATCAGACAATGAGTGAGGCAACATCTGGATAATCTTAGCCATGCTGAGCGTCACTTGTTTTCTCAGCCTTAGTCCTAACCGGCTTTGAAATCGAACCTGATTTGCACCATCGGTGCAATTTTGTTCCCTGTATTTTGTTGCCCATTAACTTCCATGGAGGCAAGCACATTTCCGGGCACCATTAAGTTGGGGCCTAAATCTTCTGCTCTCCAACTATGCTACTGTCTGCATAAGCCCAGCTTCCTAGATACATTGCTTCCTCCAAGCTACTTTGCCTCATTCATACTTACGCCTGATATGTGCGTACCCATATAAATAGGACACAGCAAAAATTTGCAGTGTAGAGCTCTTCTGTCCAGCCTTCCAGTTGGCCAGGCATAACTTCCTCCATGAGGTTTCTTTCCGGGCTCTGTCCCACCTGCGTTTCCATTTTTGCTTTCAGCCACAGTCAGACTCCCACAACTGCTGGGGACTCTCTCTCTTCACTGAACCATTTGGGGATTTTCTTCCTTAGAGATTTTGTGTCTAAGTCTTCTTTTCTGGCATTTCTCGAAGCCCTTGAGCATTGAACATTGCATAAAATCAGAAGTCCAGAGTAAACAACTTGCAGTGGTGGAGAATGGAAACAAAGAGAGCCAGGATTAGAGCAACGACATTTCCATGTAGAATGAAGGATTAACAAAACACTTTAATTCCATCCTGTGCCACTTTTGCATCTATTTATGCATAAGTCCTTTCTATTTTTCACATTAATTTGCAATGCATTGGCGCATGTGGGTTTGAATATAGATCTTCGAAACACACACACTGGCTTTTATGTGCATTGTGATACCTATTTGGACTGTGGAACTTTGCCAGAACATTTTGGAACTGAGAGAACTTGTTAATATGTTCAGGCCAAGCTACCAATCCAGGAGAGATGGGTCAGGCCAACACATATCAAAATTTGCAAAAATCAAATCTCTTGAGCATTTGATAGAAAATGGGGGACATACAAGATTTCTCCAGGCCCAAAGCCCAATGAAATAGCATGGTTTAGAATACCTGTGATGTGGGGCTCATAGGAGGAGGCCATGTGGATCACTTAAGGGATAAACACTCAGTAAGTTGGGTGCCACCCCCTAAAAGACCCTGCCTCGTGTAAGAGCCTCATCTTCCCATCTCCAGCTTCGAAGGTGAAGAGGAGCAGGTAGCGCCTCTAATGATGAAAAATAACATACTCTCGCCTGCGTTTTCCCCCTTTCCTTTTCTTGCAGATGAAAACTGCAAGGACAAATATTACAACTGCAACGTTGTGGTTCAGGCCCGGCTCTGTGTCTACACCTATTATAAGAGAGCTTGCTGTGTGTCTTGCATGAAAGCGGCTAACAGGATGTCAAGCTTCCTGGGACGCAGATAACAGCAGCTCGATGGCTGGATTCAGACCTCTCCTCCGTCACCTTTGGCTGCTTGGACTCTGACAGATTTCGCCATCTGAAAGAGAGGCTTTCCGTATCGGTGAGCACCTCGGGGCGTGACGGATGCACACCTGCGTGTTTCTCATTCACACACTGAATAGGAACTTGGCAGCTTTTGGACACACACGCTGTAAAACCCGGGCTTTGGGAGCAGAATCTGGCAAAACCCACTCAAATCCCGTGCAAACGCGAGGAACTGCCAATGACCCATCAAAATGTAAAGGTCTCATTTGGGGCTAACAAAGTACCCTTGAAGGGCGAGCTTCCTTCCTCCCATCTTTCTACAGCACCCACCACAGCAGGCTGAAAGCACTGCTTGGACTTTGGGTTCCTCCCTGGGAGCCACTAAGATGGGATAGACAATCTCCACCTTCGAAGACCGGGCTCCTCTTGGTGGCTCTGTTGCTCCCCCCACACAGGATCTGGCCTGTGGCTGTTCCCACTGCTTTTGGCATCTGCCTTTCCACCGAGGGGGCCCTTTGCTTCTCTCCTGCACACCTGTTTCTCTTACCTTGAGCAATAATCCATCTAGTTGCTAGGACAGTGTGCATGGAAGGATGCAGATTAAATCTTTGGGGCTGGGGGATGGCAGAGCTTAGGTGGGCTAGAAGGTCCCATGTTTGGAGCCCTCAACCCATCTGTATCCTGGAAGTATGAGCTACGCGAGCCAAGGGGGGACTGAAACAAGTTTGCGTCTGCTCCTTCACTAAAATGCAAAGGGCAGCTAGATGGGCCCTCAGTGGCATTCCTCTTCTGTGCCTGTATCGCCCTCCACGGCTCTGCAGCTTGCAGTGAGCCCTAAAAGCTCTCTGGGGGCCACAGGTTTGCTCTCGTAGTTTGTGAGTTTAAAGGCTATAAGGTCATGCAGACAGGTGGGGAGTCTTACCTGCCTGAGCACTGCATGCATTTCTTCCAACCCCTCCCAGACCAGTCCTAAGGAAGACGTTTGTGAAATCTGAAAGCCAGCTCCATTTTCCTTTTTCTCTTGTCTTTTCTGGATATCTTGATTTTTCCTCAATGCCGAGAAAGGTTCTCCTGCACCGGCTGAGATCTGCTTTCCCATGTGCCCACTCCCCTCCTCCCATTTCTTTGCATCAGAGAACCCCTAGCAGTGATGTGCTGAACGCAGTGGTCGCGATGGACAACATTACGAGCTGAGTGCCCGATGGCAGCGGTTTAGACTGGCCCCCACAACAAGCCTGTCATTTGATCCTGGGTCCGATGGCTTCCCCATCCCCTGCAGGCTGAGGCTGCACCAATGACTGGGGGATGCTGGGAGTTGTGGGACCTTCTGTCCAAACACACATAGGATTTTGTCCTTCACCCAGTATTGCCCTCGGGTTGGCAGCACTCTAGAGCCCTACATTTCCTGCTCCTGGACCTTTCAGGTGGAGATGACCAGGACTGGACAGCAGTCAGAGGACCGTGACATGGTGAGGTAGTTCGAGTCCCCTGATTTAGTGATCCAGTGAGGGATGAAGGATGTCTGATAAGGGATTAGCTGGGGTTTCAGCTCTTCGTGGAAGCCTGGACCCCTGCCCCAAAGTCCAGCCCTAGAGGCACCATAATCATGATTTGGTACAAAACTCTAATGAGCTTGATATGTAGCCCACCCCTCCCCTTTTAAAGGCAACGTTCTGGACTTCAAAGAGAGTCTGTGCATGGCAAGGAGGGAGCGAGCTTCCGGCACGGTGTGCTCAAAATTGTACTGCAGAACCCCAGTGAATATGAAAGCTTAATCCACCCATCTCTAGCGAGTTCCCAGCTTTCTTGTTCCTCCTGCCCTGGGCACATTAAAAGACAACATTATCAGGGCTTTCCAGCAGAGAAATGTTTTCTAATAGGGAGTGCCTGCCCCAGACACCCAAGTCCCAAACACTGTTATTTTTTTCATTTATCTCAGTTGATCTGTAGAGAACAACCAAACAATTTAAAGGTCCCCCCCGCCTTTCTGATTGACTGTTCTTCCTTCTTCAGGTCTAAGTAGTCCCACTTTAATGGCCTAGATCTTTCATCCTTAACACTAGTGCATGAAATACCCACTGTCGTTTTCCATCTGTGCTGAGAGCGCTTTGCCATTCGGTAAAGTTCACTCCCTGCTATTAGAGAAGTTGGAAAATAGCAGGTTAGATTCATGCTGTCCCTGTGCATACATGGCCAAGTTGTTCTAAATGAGCAATTGCTTCTGACTTTTGCTAACGTGTGAATGAACCAGTCTGTGGTGCACCATGTCCGTTTCACATGCATTCATTCCTTAGTCTGTTCCGTCCAATGCAGATGCAGCATACATTTAAAAAATGCACCAAAACTGGATCGATTTTTCTAGACCTCTTCCCACGCTACATCCACTGTATATGCAGCTTCCCCAAGTAGGTGTATTTTGTATGCAACCATTGCATGCATATTTCTGCATGCAATCATGGAGTCGAAAACAATGCTGCAAAATTTGGAGAAGTGTTCAATCTAAAGGTTAAGTATGTTCTGATCCAGGTATTATTTGAAGAAGTGGGAATCAAAGTAATTTGACTTACAAATGTGGACCAAGTGACATTCTCCCCATCTGTACTTTTGACAGAGATACCCAAAGCAGAAAATTGGTTGATGGTAGTGGGATCACTGGGCAAGCTATTTCCTGATCCACCAATAAGACCCTCAGGGGGTAATAATGCTCAGCTCAGACAGAAGGCTAGTATAATGCCTGATTTATCCAGCTCTGATTTTGTCTGAAGAAAAGAATTCCACTGCCTCCGCTCTGCCTCTCATGCACTTAGTTCTAAAATTTAATGAGCACATTAAAACAAAACCTTACAAAATGCAATAGGACCGACTGCCAGAATCCTGAAATTAACCTAATCAATCCAAAACAAGGAAGGATATACTTTGTTATAACTTATTTTTTATATTTGTAAATACAAGATGTTTATAGGAAAATACGTATTCGAAGCTATGTCTATATGGAATAAGCCACTGCATCAAAATAGTTCTATTATTTAGAATATGAGATTTTGTTGTGAGTTCGGGGTTTTTGTTTTTTTTTTTAACAAAAAGGGACTAAATGCATATTTATTTATATATCCCATCTGCATTTCTTTCCAGTTATTTTGGCAGTACTAACCAGCCTTTGGCCTGGAATTTTATACCACGTTGACATATATAAATATCATACTGTAAATCCATAGTTAATGGTTTCTTTATTTCATGGTAAATAACCTACTCCTACACATGTTTTTTTTAACAGTGCAAAACAAAAACAGAAGAGGGAGATGGTATACGTGAATAGCAATTATAGGCTAGTTCTGGGATCTATATGCCCCATAATGCACCTCAACTAGATCTATGCAGCATTCTCTTCATACGTGTATACATATTCTCTGAAGGGGGGAAAGTCTGATATTTTTGCCTATGACTAATTTATTTTTATGATTGTGAAAATAAAGAAATTAAACAGATATCCCCTTCTGTGAGTCACCTGTTTTGCAGGCAGGATTGGGAGCCGTGTCTACAAGTCGAACCTTTGTCCCTTGCCCAACCGCTAACAAAAATGGGGGGGGGTCCATGGTTTGGGGGAGGGCTGGGATGAATCCTTTTGGAATCTGATCTGTGGGAATCCTCCCATGCTTGGCTCAGTCCTGCAAAGTGGGCCAAGCCAAGAGGAAGTCCACGAATTCTCGTGGATCCCTGGTTGAGCCAGGGTGGTGCAGTGGTGACTCAGGCAATCTGGGTTCGAGTCCCCACTCAGCCATGGAGACCACTGGGTGACTTTGGGCAGGTCACAGCCTCTCAGCCCAGCCTACCTCACAGGGTTGCTGTTGTGGGAATAATGTTGAGAACAGGAGGAGGAGAATCAGGAAAGCAGCTTGGAGTGCATCAAAAAAGAAAAAGGTGGAGCATAAATCAAAGAAAGAGAGAGAGAGAAAGACAGAAAGACGAAAGAGAGAGAGAGGAAGGAAGGAAGGACATGAAAGAAGAAAGAAAGAAAGAAAGAAAGAAAGAAAGAAAGAAAGAAAGAAAGAAACGCTTCTCATAAATGCCAGTGGGAGAACTTCGAAGCTTGTTTTCTGCCACATCCTCAGCCCTGGATCCTTCCGGCCACCCTTTCTTTTTCCAATGAGGTAAGTGTATATTGCTGAACAGGAGAATTTTGATTTTTAAAAATCCAAATGTGCACCACTCCCACTGACTAAAGCGTGAAACAGGCTCATTTATGAGAGATTTTAATGGGCACATTATTCCAGAAAGATGCATTTTTAATACAACTGGAAGTTCAAGAAGGTGTGAGCCGTTTTTGAGAAATGCACTTCCATTTCCGTTTGCAGTCAGGCTTGTGAATGAGGCAAGTTCTGATAATTTGCCAACAGAAATTGAATTCTTCAAACATCACTACTCTTGAGCCTTACCACTACAAAAAGGCAGAAAAACCACATATTTCCTCATTTCCCGCACTGATGTTCTTTGCAAGAGCATCTCAGGTATATACAAGTACCGTGTGGTCACATCCTTAAAACAATAGCCAGCTAGAAATCCAGAATTGATTTGGCGTTGGTTTTCTGATGCAAGAGTAAGCTGCAAATACAACGCACACTCCCACCCCCCTGCAAGAACTGCCATATATTTCTGAAACAATTTATTATTAAACAACTAGTTAGACTGTTAATGACCCTGAGACAAGGAGCATTAGTGGGGGGGGGGGGGGGCTGAGAGGCTGCAGGGCCAAGTGAGAGAGATCCTTTTTAATTCAGTTTGCAATTTGCATGTTTAACAAGGTGTGACCTTAACTGTGCTGCTGGCATTAAACTACAGGGACTGCCGAAATGTGCAGAGGGCCCAGCCTGCTTAGCAAGGACTGAACGGAGTTGCAACCCTCACTAATCATGACAGTGCATGAAAGGATCTGTGAGATGCAAAAACCACCGGCTCTTTGCTTCACAAATGAACGGGTATTTTGGACACTCTCGAGATTCTTCCTAGCCCCGGCTGGAGATGCCACAACTGGGAGTCTTCTGCATGCAGAGGGAGCGCGCTGCCTCAGAATCATGGGACTTGCCCTGATCTATCTAGTCCCCTAGTCAAGATTGCTTACCGTTAGCGATTCACCTATCAGCATGCTTGTACGATAGGAAATGATTGATTCCATGTTTTCGAATGGTGTATTATCTTAATTGAATTTAAATGTTACTCTGGTGTATTGACTGCACATTGCAAAACCTTGTTTTGTGTTGCTTGGATGGAGCTTTTATTGACAGAGTGTTCTGAACATTAGTACTGTTTGCTATTTTTGCAAATATGGCCCTCTGGGTTTGATATTACTGTCTTTGTTTCACTGAGCGATCGTTGACCTCCCTGAACTTTCTTTCGAGAGGAAGAACTGGGTGTCAGACTGAATACTAATGAAATGGAAGCTTCAGCTGCCAGGTAAGCTAATTACCTACCTGTAGGCATCTCCCTGTTTTGTATCGGAGACTGGATGCTGGATCCGATTGGGTTTAACCAAAGGTGCTGCTGCCCTAGGATGCAACGTGGGGCAAGAGTCGCCCCGAGCCTCGTCATCCCTCGCCCACCCAGTGGCCACCTAGAGAAGTGCGATAGCAGAATCGGATGCTCATTCCATTTTATACCCATACTAATTGGAGGCAAGTCAGGACAGATCAAAGGAAATGATCTCAGTGCACAAAATCTGCTTCTGCAGGATGCAGTGATGGCCACCAATCTGGAAAGCTTTAAAAGGGAACTGGATCCGTTCTTGGCTACTAGTCCTCAGGGCCGTCTGCGGAGTCTGTTAGCACAGGCAATGTGCCCATATGCACCCACTGCTGTGGAACGTGGGTGGAAGGGTGGCGTGGCACCCATGACCTGCCCGTGGGTTTCTTGTGGGCACCGGTTGGTCTCTGGGGGGGGGGGCAGAATGCAGGATCGGTTTGCCCGATCTCACTCTTCTTATGCTCCTGATGGCGCTGTGATTTAAGTAGGCCTAAAGTGCAAAAACGGCATGTGCTGAGAGGATGACTCAAAACAAAAAACAAAATCAAGAAATCTGGGCTGGTAAATTATGTGGGAGTTATGCCAACGTCTCAGGAAGGTGAAGCATGCCAGGAAGTGTGGAATGGCAGCAGGGGTTGCAGGGAAAATAGAGATGTTTGTGGTGCGTTTCACACCTAAAGTGATGCACACAACCTTGTGGGACGGTGGTGGCAAGATCATGAAGGCCAAGACCTAAAATTACAGAACCGCACGGCTGCATCTCTCTGGACTTTTTCTGTGCACCCATTTGCCTAGCTGGGAACTGGGATTATCTCCTAAATCCAACCTAACACACCTACAGACTTCGGGTGGGGGGCTACCCAGGAGGGCCTGAATCCCCATTGCCTGCTTCTTCTTACTTTCGAGGGCCGGCTCCTTCACAGCCGCAAAGGTGCTAACACGGCGGCACTCGAGGGATCGTTGATTCATATTCTGGCGTGACAACACAATTGAATCTGAAACCGGCCGACGTGACAAATGGAAGGATTCAGCATGAAATCTGAGCAGCCATCTGTCAATGTCTCATAAAGCACAACTCACTTTCTCGCAAGGCTGTCATGTCGTCCTTTCCTTTGCCTCGCAAAAGTATGGATCGTTGTCGCAATCCGCACGGGCTGCTAATGTGTACGGTCATTGGATTCCTGGTACCGCGATGCAAATGCATCCCTGCAGGATGGAAGGGGAGAGGCCCAGTTATGACCCGTTGTGGCTCCTAGTTTGGACCAGTGCAGAGTGCATCATCGATGCATCACGTGGGACTGTTCTTGCAACTGGCATCCGGGAGGTGTCCTGAAATTATTGGCCAATTTATGGTCGATGTCACTCTTCCCCACAATGCAGGCCTGTCCTTTGTCCAAATTAATTTGCATTTTAATACAATGCATAAAATGTGTATTTAAATGGCATATTCACCGCTATGGAACTAAATGCATTTTCCTCTGAACATATTTATTTATTTAAGATATGTGTATGCCGTCCTTTGTAAGAGCCTCAGGACAGCTTACACAAATAAAATTCCGAGGTACATAAACAGTAAGTTGACAACCCACTCTGGCTGCAAATTAAAATACGGTAATAAAATTCAATATTAAAACTTATTAAAATATTGATTAAATAAAAAGGTCTTAACATTTTAAAATATGTGCTTTGAAATGTGGCTTTGCACCTGAGAATGACCAGAGGGAGCAGGGCAACTCCGCTGGGGAGCCCCTGGTTGGGGAAGTCTGGGTGGCAGTATTGGGACTCATCAAGACAAGACTTGGCTTCAACCCCTGAACCACCACTAGGTCGTGTCTGCTGGGTGAGCTTGGGTCATTCACTCCAACTCCTCGCAGGCCTGTTAGGAAGATCGAAAGGGAATCTTCCAGGACTCATTAAGGAAGGCTTTAAAAGAAATCCAGATCTTCCCTGTTTAGGTCTCAGCCGGCCTTCTCCAACCTCATGCTCCTCTGGCATGTTAGACTGAAACCTCCAGTCATTCTCAGGGAGTTTGGTAAACAAGGATGTATGCCCACCCAATTTAATTCCAGGGAATAGAAATGGAAGGTGCTAAGTAATAACACTCAAAGCTATGGTGTTCCCAGTTGCAATGTATGGCTGAGAAAGTTGGACTATAAGGAAGGCTGAGCACTGAAGAACTGAGGCCTTTGAATTGTGGTGCTGGAAAAGATTCCTGAGAGTCCCTTGGACCGCAAGGCGATCAAACCGGTCAGTCCTAGAGGAGATCAACCCTGACTGCTCTTTAGAAGGCCAGATCCTGAAGATGAAACTCAAATACTTTGGCCATCTATTGAGAAGGAAGGACTCCCGGGAGAAGACCCTGATGCTGGGAACAATAGAGGGCAAAAGAAGAAGGGGACGGCAGAGGATGAGGTGGCTGGATGGAGTCACTGAAGCAGTCGGCGTGAGCTTAAGTGGACTCCGAGGGATGGTGGAGGACTGGAGATCCTGGAGGAATGTTGCCCATGGGGTCGTGAGGGCATGACTTGGTGACTAAACAAAAGTAGTAACACCTTCCATTCCCATTCCTAGCAAACAGAATGCATAGGAATGTTCAAGCGTGGAGCTCTCCGAATGTTTGTTGAGCTGTGGAAGGCAACCGTTCCTTTTCACTAAAAAACTGTGACTGACATCTGTACAATCTCATACACTTGAAAGTGCATTTTAAGCAAGGATAACCATGAAATTTTCATGATTACATAAAACAGATCAATTTTTAATCCAATGTTGTGATCAAAGAGCTTTCCTGCTCCCCGTTTTTCTTTCTTTCTTTCTTTTTTACTAGCTTTCATGGGAAAAGAGGTGTTTTCATTTGAACTGAACATGGTATTTTCCCCCTCCCAATGCACTTTTCATTCTGTTCCCAAGA